AAAAAAAAAAAAAAAAAGTATAAATACAATAAGTTTCTGTTCCTCTAAGAGAATTTGGGTGTGTGGCAGAGATAGACTTGTAAACAAATCACTACAATGCAGTGTGGTAAAATGAGAAAAGGTACTGTTGTGAGAAAGATGGAGGAGTGATTAGTTCAGTTCTATTCTACTTGGGGAAAGGTTGTGCCACATTAGGAAGAGCTTCGTAGAAATGGATGCTCTCATACAATTTTTCGAGACAAGATGAAAGTGTAGACTAGATAACATTATAGTTAGAGTCTTAGTCAAAGACTGCTGATTTAATGAATTGATATCAATATGCAGGCAGATAGTGGAAGGAGTGTATGTATTTATGTGTATTCTTTTAGGACATTTTTTCAGCCCTGCTGTTTTCAACATTATCAATGACTTGGAGAAGAACTCAAATGGTGTGCATTTCAAATGCATAGATGACACAACAGGGTGGGATTATAAATACCCTGAAAGAATTCAGAATTCCCTTGACATAATGGAACACTGAGAAATTTAATAAAATGAAAAAAATTGTATACAGTCTTGGGGAGATATTGAATAAATGTTTAATTTATGCATACAATGAACTAGGCACTGTAGTGAACAAGACATATCTGGGTGTTGCCCTCATAGAACTTTCAGTCTAGTCAGGGAGGCAGCCCTTAAACAGACATCTTAGAAGAAACAATGATGAGTAATATAATAGGGAAAGTACAGAGGACAATGAAAATCTAAAAGGGTGCTAAGTTCAGGCTTTGTAGAAATGATGCTAATTGGAGCTATAAAGGTTGAACGTGAGCTTGCCAAGATAGGAGCAGAATTTGAGGAAAAGTGCAAAGATTCAGAGCGAAGATAGTTAGAATAGGAATTGGTAAACGTTTTTTGCAGAGGGCTAGGTTGTAAACATTTTAGATTTTATAGGCCACGTGGTCTCTGTCAAGATTACTCAACCTTGCCATTGTAGCATGAAAGCAGCCATAAATAATGCGTAAACAAGTAGGCATAATTGTGTTCCAATAAAAGTTTATTTACAAAAACAGGTGTTAGACTAGATTTGGCTTTGGATTGTGGTTGAGCCTATCATGTTTGAGGAACTTGAAGTAGAATTGTTCGGGGTGCTTTTTTCTTCCTTCCTTCCTTCTTTCCTTCCTTCCTTCCTTCCTTCCCTCCCTCCCTCCTTCACTCCCTCCCTTTCTTTCTTCTTTCTTTCTTTCATTTTAAAACAGTTTATTAGTGAGAAGAAGGAAAGGAAAAAGGAAGATTCATGGCAGAAAGACCTGCCATGGGCAAGTTCCTCAGAAAGAAAAACTGCCTCAGGGTGCTTTTTCAAAGTATGTATCTTTGATTGTTCCCACCATGAGACTCTGATTTAATAAGTCTAGGGTGACATTCAGACCTGCTTTTTATTTTCTAATTTAAAAAAAGTTTTTAGAGACAGAGTCTCACTCTGTCACCCAGATGGGAGTGCAGTGGCTTGATCATAGCTCACTGTAATTCTCACACTCCTGGATTCAGGCGATCCTCCCAAGTAGCTGGAACTGCAGACACACACCACCATGCCCGGCTAGTGTGTATGACTAGCCTTGAACTCCTGGCCTCAAGCAGTTCTTCTGCCGCAGGCTTTCAAAGCACTGGGATTACAGGTATGAGCCACCACGTCCGGTCGACCTGCTTTTTAAATATAATAGTACTGATGGGCTAGACTATAGTGTAGTAGGAGCTGAGTTTTTGAAATATAGTCAAGGACCAGATGTTCAAAGTAATATGTAGGCTTCCAAAACCATCGATTTATTTCAGTATCTGAATAAACGTTACATTTTTTAACTATATAAAAGAATTTCAGAGGCTGTATAGTGATTTTCTGGTATTTCTTCCTCTTGTCTTTTTCTCTTTTGTTGCCTTTATAATAGCTTGCTTGATTTATCATACAAAAACCTGTTTCAAATTAATAATATTGTTGTTGATAAGAGGCTACTAAATGAAATTGAAAGTGTTTTCAGTTTTTCTTCCTTTGGACTAAATCAGTCTCTAGATGTACACTGCACATACTATATTTTACATACGGTTAGGTATATTTATTTCCATTTGTTTTCATGTTTTAGAAATTGCTTTTTTCTTTTAGATCTATTTTTACTCTTGAAATATGTAAAACATTTACATGATTCCAGATTCTAAACTATGAAAATCTCACTTCTATCCTTGCCTTCTCTTCTTTTAATGTCTTCTACCTTGAGGTAGCCATTTTTATTGTTTGTTTGTTTCCCCCCATCCAGTGTTTCCTTTCTTTAAACTTAGTAAATGCTGTTTTATCATCTGTATTTGATAATGCCAGTATCTCAATTTTTTGTGTGTCTGTTTCTGTTGCCTGCTTCTTTTGCTGCTTTTTCCTCATACTGATCAGTTTCTTTGTGTGCCTGGTTATCTTTGACCATATGTTGGATACTTGGACTATTATTTTGTAGAAATAATTTGAACATTGATCTCTTTCTGCACAGAGGACTTTCATTTGCTTCTCACAGATACCTAGTGGTGCTCTTTGTCAGGGACTACCCTAATCCAAGTTCTGTGTCCAAGATTCCCCAGACCATAAGAGGTCGGAGTGCAAGCTTATGAGAGGACTAATTTATTTCTTGTTCCTCTTGCCTTGAGAAATGTGGCCCTTTGGGTTTCCAGTCTATAGTTGGGCATGGTTTATAAGCGTTCTCAATTTTGGCAAACCTTGTGGTTTGACTTTAGTCACTTTAGCCTTTTGAGACTGTGGACATGCAGCTCAGTTTTGTAGCTGATTCCTCGGGATTGACAAATTCCCTCAGGCCAAAAGTAATTTTGAGTATGACTTATTTCTTTGGGTTTCATCTTCTTTTAGCTTTGTAATTGCCTATCATAGCATTAGCAGTTTGTAACTCTTAAAAAAATATCTTTATTATAGAGAATGTCAAACATAACAAAGTAGAGACAATAGTGTAATGCATCCCCAAGTGCCCATCACCCAACTTGATCTCTACTTTGCCCAGTTTTACTCCTTTCCTTAACAGTCATTTTGAAGCAAATGCCAAATGTTACATAATTTTACTATAAATGTTTCATTATATACCTTTAAAAGATATGGGTACTTTTAAAAAACTTTCTATGCTTCCATTTTTCAACAACGTTATCAAGATATAATTCAAATACCATATAATTCACCCATTTAAAGTATACGGCTTAGTAGCTGTTAGTATATTCATAGAGCTGGCATTCATCACAACAATCAATTTTAGAACATTTTCATTATCTCCAAAAGAAACCTCACACCCCTTAGCCATCACTCTCTAGGACCTCGCCTCTCCCAAAGTCCTAGGCAAACATGAATTTGCTTTATATTTCTCTATATTTGCCTATTCTGGAAGTTTCATATAAATAGAATCATGCAATACGTGGTCCTTTGTAACTGGCTTCTTTCATCCAGCATATTTTCATTTTATGGCATGGTTCAGTACTTCATGTTTTTCTTTGTATCGATATGACACATTTTATTTATCCATTTACCAATTGATGGACTTTTTGGTTCACTTTTTGATTATGAATAAACATTTTTGTAAAAGGTTTTGTTTGCACATATATTTTTGTGTCTCTTGGGTGTATATACTTAGGATTGGAAATGCTGGATTATATGGTATTCTATGTTTAACCACTGGAAAACTTACAGATGTTTTTCCAAAGTAGTTGTACCATATAACATGCTCACCAGCAGTATGTGAGGGTTCCATTTTGTCCACATCTTTCTTAACCCTTGTTATTGATTGTTTTGTTCAAATTCTAGCCATCCTAGAGATATGAAGTGGTATTTCATTGTGGTATTGATTTGCATTTTCATGATAGTTATCGATGTTCGCATCTTTTCATATGCTTAGTGACCATTTTTATATTTTCTTTGGAAAAATGTCTATTGCTCATTTTGTAATGAGGCCTTTTTATTATTGAATTGTAAGAGTTATTTCTGTATTCTAGATACAAGTCCCTTATCAAATATATGATTTTGTGAAAATTTTCTTCTATTCTGTGCATTGTCTTTTAACTCTTTGATTGGTGTCTTTTGATTCATAAAAGTTTTAAATTTTGATGAAGTCAAATTTATAAATTTTTTCTTCTGCTTGTGCTGTTGTCACAGCTAAGAAATCACTATCTTATCTAAGGTCACAAAGATTTACTTCTATGTTTTATCTAAGTTTTATAGTTTTAGCTCTTATATTTGGATTTTTGACCAATTTTGAGTTATTTCTTACATATGATGTGATGTAAGTTATAGCTTCCTATTTTTTTGTGTGGCTATTCAGTTGTCCCAGGACCACTAGTTGAAAAGTCTGTTCTTTCCCTATTAAATGACACCCCTGTCAAAAATCAATTGACCATAGATGATATATGGACTCTCAGTTTTGTTTTATTGATCTATATTGTCTATCCTAATGCCTGTACAACACTGTCTTGATAAGTATAGCTATGTAGTAAGCATTGGAATCA